TTTTATTAATTTCCGCCAATATAATACTTGATGAGATCAATGTCTAAATTTTGAACAACCTTTTTATAATTCCGATAGTATGGAGTCATTGTTTTCCTAGGAATGAAAATTTTCCAATAACACTACTTTTATAATATTTCCTTTCACTAAGTTTTCTTTTTTAAAATATTAAATATTTTATTCCTTTCACTAAGTTTTCTTCTTTAAAATATTTAAATATTTATATTTATGTTAAATTCTATTTATGTACTCTCACATTATCACAGAACCGCCGCCGTGATGATGCAATAAGACATAAATTTTTAGTTTTCCCAAATTAGACATTGGATATTCTCGAAACATGACAACAAAATTCTATAATATAATTTAGAATGAACATCCTTTCAGAAGTTGCTGGCAATTGTCGAACGAGTTTTATATTTAAAGAATTCAGATCTTGTATATAATAATCCTCTCAAAGAAAAAAATTCAAGTAAAGTGTAACATGATTCTTTTTACGAAGTTATGATAAGAATTGCATTTTTAATTATTTTAAAAATTTGTTCCGGGTGAGAGTACTTGATATTTCCGATCGGATAATTTTGATCGAGCTCGACCGAATACCTGACTCTAAGACAACAAGCAGTCATGCAGTCACCTATTTCATTTCATGGACAGGATCGATGGAATAAAAATGTAGCAATCATGTTCAATTTTTAAATTTGGCAACTACGCTTCTGGCAGGAAATCCTAAACTGTCCCTTTAACTCGCTTTCCATTTGTTATTCTGCTCAATGACAATCGTGATGAAAACAAGTGGAAAGAGAATGAGAATGAGCAGTACGCGAGGAGAATATATCATCTTGAATTCGTAAAATTTTAATAAAATATGTAAAAATATATTATTAAATTTTTGATAAAATTATAAAGAAATTCTGTAGTATCCACGTGGTGGTGCAAACACAAACATGGACGGTTCTTAGAAGAGATGGGCTGCTGCTTTATGTCAAAAAAAAAAAAAAAAAAAAAAAAAAA